GACTTCTTGATCATAGCAAGTTTGAAATCGAAAGCGTCAAATTTCCTGGAGAGTTCGCTGAATGCTTCGAATTGCTTGGCTTTAGAATCCTTCGCTTCTCGGTATAACTGCGAATCACTAAAGCATGCTGCAGTCGCCTTTAAATTTGAAAATTTTGTAGCTGTCGCGAAATCCGAGGACTTCAAAACGCTTGATATAGAGAACATCAAAGAACTGATTTGCAAGGACGAGATAAACGTGTCAGATGAAGAGGAAGTATACCAGGCAGTGATTGCTTGGGTGAGACATCAACTGCCAGCGAGGGAATGTTTACTTCCCGAGCTATTGAACTGTGTGAGGCTGTTTTCAATGTCGAAGTACAGTCTACGAAATATTCTCGATGAAGAGCTGGTCAATAAGAACAACGCCTGCACAAGGATTGTCGTCAATGCACTGGATTTCTTTCTGTTCCCAGACCGTTTTCAAAACATGTCACTTAAACCTCGTTTGTCTTTGGACAAATGCGAACATGTGGTGATACTCACTGGTGGGGCATGTAAATCTGGTAACAAGAGGGACACCCAGTGTTTTGTTCCCTCCACCTTATCATGGGTATCCCTACCCATGATGCCATATCCTCACAGTCACCATGGTGTTGCAGTGTGTGGTGGACTGCTGTATACATTGGGAGGGAACAACTCAGGGCGAATGTGTTGTTTTAACCCAAAACGAAACAAATGGAGCTCGCTGGGTAGAACATTAATAGCTATAGACTGTTCAGTCACGTGTTTTCATGAAGAGCTGTATGTAATTGGTGGAGAGGGTTCTTGGCAAGATGTTCAGATATACAATCCAGTTCTTGATACATGGAGACAAGGGGCATCGATGGAAGCCTGCCGTGCTGCCCATTGTTCAGTTTTGCTGCAAGAACTTATTTATGTATTTGCTGGTCACAATGGCAACATCTGTCTAAACAGTGCAGAGTGCTACAATCCATTAACTGATCAATGGACGAAGATTTCAAGTATGTCTAAAGTCCGAAGGTTTGCTGCTGCTGCAACAGTTTTTGAGAAAATTGTTATTGTTGGTGGATTTGGTGACATGACAGTTACAACCATAGAACCTTCCTGTGAAATGTTTGAACCTAGTACAAAACAATGGAGCCTGGTGTCTAGTCCACTTAACCCTCGTGCTGCGCATGGTGTTGTAAGTATAGATGGCATTGTGTACTTGTTTGGAGGAGAAGATGAGAATACGCGCAAAGGTGCTGTGGAATGTTTTGATTTGAAAAATAATGAATGGAAGACAGTTGGCTTCATGCCAAAAACTGTGCAGGCCTCATTCTTTGGAACATCATTGCTAAAATTGCAAAAAGAGTTTATTCACTAATGACCAAAAAGCACACCCACCCACCCCAGGGAATGGTTGGTGACTTCAAATGTGACTACAAAATCCTTCGTTACATGGTCATATTTTGTAGGAAGATACCACCTCATTTAATGTAATTTGATTAATGGCAGCTGTACTAATATGCTAATAAATGCAGAAAGAGGACTGAAAATTTATCCAGCTAAATGATAATCATTATTCAGGTGGATCAGTTTATTATTATAAAAAGAAATATGCCCTTCCATAATAACTTAGCATTTAAAAAGAGATTAAAAATTACACCTCTTCAGTTTGTATTGTACAGTTCAGAAAATATCCATACCCGCCCCATGGAAGGTCAATGGAAATTCAGAGGGAGTGGGGGATCTCAAAAGCCCAAAAATGTCAAGGAAAGTATGGGGCTTAACTGGAATAATTTCCATAAGGGTATGGAGGGTGGTTAATCCAGAGAGCCTTCCATGTGGAAGGTACAAATATGTTCTGGAAAAACACATTGATTAGTTCTAAGCAGAAAATAAATGATGCTAAATGTGTGGACTTTTTAATAAAACATATATTTTCTAGCTAGAAAGTACATTGTACAAATTAAGCTAATTTATTTTTTATCTCCCAAAAGAGTTAGATTTGTCAACCTAGTTGAAACAGTAATATATAGATTTAGCCAGGCCTAAAAGTGGAGCTCCTGGGCCAGGTTGTTCAAAGCCCAATTAAGCTAACCCAGGATAAGTGAGAATT